AGTGGCAGGGGATCTTCTGGGATTACTTCTTCCCCGCGGTGTCGATCCATTGGCGGAGAGGCTATTTAGTTTAAATATTTTTTTTTGGCGATAATCGACAGATAAAAATCTATTATTTCATTTAAATTGGGTCATTTTTGACGATCTTCCTCTGTTAAAGCACTCAGTAGAGGTGGGAAGCTATCGAAGAATTTAACTATCGATATATCGGTAGTAACGAATAAAAACTATCGATGTATCGATATAACTATCGATAAAAAAAGGTATACGTTTTGGACCCATTTGGTATTTGGAGTTTCAGCAATTAGCAGGTCAGGGCAAGCCAAAATGTTAATGTTAATGAACTCCAACAGCAGTGTGCACATGAAGGTCTGAGATGAAGGCCCTAACCCTACGATCTACGCCCTACAATACAAACACAACTAGACCTAGAGAAAAAAATACTTACCTAAATGAAAGTTAATATTGTGAATAACAATTAACAATATGTTTAATTACACACGTTCAGTTTTCTTCAAGCTGGAAGTGAAGAACAGAAACAAGCAACCACTATGAAGTGAAATACAGTGTAGTGAGAGTTGTGTAGGTTGTTGTTGTTAACTGATGATAACAGGAAACATAACTAATCTTCATCTTTTTTAGTTTTGATTTCAACTACCATACCATCAAAACCAAAATAAAAAACATCAAGGTTGTTTGAGAGATGGTAGTTTTCCTGATAACTTTTATGACGTCATCTGGGGTGCCCCAACATAATTCCAAATCTCCATAAGGCACCCCAGACCAGATGACGTCATCAAGTTACCCATTACCAGACAACCTATAAACTTAAGGAGCCTTAATGAAAGATGAAATGTATGATATTTCTTGACACTTGACATTGCTGACATGAAAAAAGACAGGAGAACTGCTATCGATTGTCCAAGTAGAACTATCGATAGTTCGATAGGGTAGCAAACTATCGATATATCGATAATTACTATCGATAGTTTCCCACCTCTACTCAGTCCTAATGTCATCTTATGGAGGTGTCTTGTCAATTTTATTTCCGGTAAATTTTTTTAATAGACTTCTTGAATTAAGCTAAAAGTAGTATAATACAACTATAACCAAATTTCTATTTTATATGCGTGAAATATTTAAATCTATTCATTTTGTTATTACTTTTGTTTCCTTATTTAATTTTCCAAAAAACATTCTCCTTTGGCTTACCTCATTTTTATTTTTTTTCAAATTCTTCTGATCAGTGATTAGAGGTTAACTCTTAATTTGCTACGTTATGTTCGTTAAAAATTTGAATTATTTGATAAAGTGTTCGTGACTAAAAATGTGGATTGCAAAACGGATGTTAAATATTTCTTTACATGTGCATGCTACAGAAGCTAATCTAATAATATATGCTCCTAATAAAAATGTGTTTATTAATATTTTGATAGAGTATTTAGAATACTTGACCGATGCACAGACTAGTATTTTAATTGAAAACCTGGCCAAAATATCAAAATTGTAAACAGTAAAAACAACGCTGTTTATAGGTGCGTCTAACTGGTAGATAAACATGCCGTCGCATGTGGACTTCTTATCCGTGATAAGGCCACCAGTCACTGGTCCGTGCAACCGGAAATATTAGTTCGCAGTATTCTGTTCAGATGCGTCTTTTCGTTGCGATATGTTCTGTATCGAAACTTATCATGGATACTGTTAGAGAAGGTATGTATAATGTAGTAGTTATATTTTAATGGATACTGGAAAGTTTTTATACGTGTATATACCGATCTTGATCGTTTACTACAAAATATCCTATTTTAATCACTTTTTCTGCATGAATTAATGTTTTTAAATATATGCAACGCATCGCAACTGCGTAAATGTTACTTGTCGTTAAACTTCAGAATATGCAGAATTACTATACCGCAGAAAAGTTTTCCCAAGTTTTCACATTAAAAAAAATATATATATATCAATTTCCGTTTCTTTCAGTTTCTGCAGATTCCGTCAAATCTATGACTAGAAGACAACTGCATGATCTAGTCAGAGAAAGCACAAAGCGACTGTTTGATGAAAAACTGAAAGATTTAGAAGACAAATTAGTTACCATTACAAAGTGTCCGCCTGAGAAAATCGATGTACTTCAAGATACCATCAAGAATTTTAAAACTGTTTATAAGCGTAAATGGCTCTCGTGCAATAGTACAGAAAGTCGTTTCTTGGAAAAGAATCAAGAATGGCTAAATGAAGAAATTTCACTTCCTGTCGCCTCAGTTGCTTCCAGTTCCAAAGGTCGACCAAATAAAGAATTTGGAGAATTAAGTGACCGATCAAAGCGGCGTAATACACTGGAGCTTAGAATGAATGTCCCTCTTGATAAGTTGACATACGCTACACAGATGAGTCAGCGAGCTGCAGGTAATATTGACGCAGCAAAAATAATTAAAGATGTCACTAAATCTGCAACTAGTGCAGCAAAATTTCGTAAACTAGCAGTTATTGGTAGTCAAAAAACTACTACGAAGAAACACTCGCCAGAAGAGGCTTTGGCAGTACTCGTCGAAGCTAATTTGACCATGAGTCAGTACGAGGTGATTCGGCAAGCCAACAAAGATGTATATCCATGTTATAAATACGTGCAAAATGCTAAACAGGATTGTTACCCACCAAAAAATATTGGCGAAACTTTTGCTGAAGTGAAATTGCAAGATTTGGTCGATCATACAACTTGGCGGCTTTGTAGATATTTGGAACCAGTTCTGGAAAATATCCAAAGTGAAAATAAAGAATTTGTGCTTATATTTAAGTGGGGTTGTGATGGGTCCAAGCAATGTGAATATAAGCAAAAATTTGAAGATGAGAGCGACAGTGATGCTAACATTTTTCTGAGTTCCCTTGTACCAGTTAGGCTACTGTGTGGAAAACAAAATATATGGCAAAACCCTAATCCATCATCACCTAGATTTTGCAGGCCTATCAGAATGAGATTTGTCAAAGAAAATAAAGACATCACTAATGAGGAGATTGAATACGTGGAAAAGCAGGCCAGAAATCTGCAAGCGACAAAGTTGAAAGAAAATATTGAAATTAGACATAAATTACTGCCAACAATGGTAGATGGGAAAGTGTGCAATGCTGCCACTAACACTACTTCGACTATGCGCTGTTACATATGTGGTAAAACATCAAAAAACTTTAATGACTTGACAAAGGAGAGCCCAGAAAAACATGAAACACTTCAGTTTGGGTTGTCAATATTACACGCAAGAATTAGATTTTTTGAGTTTCTACTACATTTGTCATACAAAGTAAAGGCAGGAGTACGTGAAAGTCGCGTTACAATAAAAACTGACAAAGAGAAAATTCAAACTGCAAAACAAAACATGCAAAAAGAATTCCGCCAGAAAATGGGATTGCTGGTGGACATCCCGAAAGCTGGATATGGCAATACCAATGACGGAAACACGTCACGTAGATTTTTCAACAATGTAGAAGAAGCAGCTGCTATCACAGGAATAGACTTCGAACTGATAAACAGATTTAAAATAATATTAGAAGTGTTATCTTCTGGTTTCAAAATAGACGTGGAAAAATTCTCTATGTACACTATGGATACGGCGAAGCTCTATGTAAATTTATATCCTTGGCAGCCTATGTCACCAACCATACATAAAATTTTAATACACTCAGCCAGTGTTATAGCACATGCTTTATTACCAATCGGTCAGTTGTCGGAAGAAGCTGCGGAAGCCAGGAATAAGCATTTCCGCCAGTACCGGGAAAGCTTCTCGCGAAAATTTTCCAGAAAAGAATGTAATGAAGATGTTCTAAATCGGCTTTTGTTGACCTCAGACCCCTACTTAAGTAGCATAAAGCCTAAAACTAGTAGAAAAAAACAGTCATTTACAAAAGAAGCACTGGAGTTTTTACAACCAGAACCAGATCTTGATTCCAGTGATGAAAGTGACACAGAATAGACTGTAATCTCATACGAATAATTGTATTTTTAATTTCTATGTTATATCAGAGTTTCTATGTTTTTTTTTTTAGTAGAATAATTTCATAATGGACGGAATAACTTTTGTTGTTATTATTATTATTATTGATAAAATAAATAAATAATTACCTTTTGACTTATAAACTTACTTTATTACGTGAAAATAAACTGTTATTATTTAAAAAGAGTTCAAATAAACAACAAAATATTTTTGGCCAGGTTTTTAGCAAATATACCAGTCTGTGCGATGTTGGTAAAAAAAAAATCTATAAAATTATATGATAGAAATTTACAAAGCTTCAAAATACGGTAATGTTTTTTCAAGTTCTTTTCTACTTTTCCCTTTTTGAAAATGACTTTTGACATTCACGTTCTATTTGATGGAAAGCTTTCAGGAAATATTGGACACGGCAAAAAGGATTTTCTTGTTCTTTCCAGTTCAGCTGCTTATCACTTCTCTGTAACAGCTTTTTTGTTTGGCGGCAGATCTTTATCTATTTAATCTTGCTAAAACTTTAAAATGCCCTCATGTCAGTTTGGATGTTCCTATAGATACTTTTTAATAATATTTCAAGGTAGCCACTTTAATATCATCTACAACCCCCGCGATAATATGAAGTTTAATACCCTCGCTAATACCTATTCATAAAACATTTTGAACAGAAATCGTGACCTATATTTTTGTTTATAAGCTAGCATAAATTACTTCAATTAGGTACCTATGTAATAATTTTGTACTTATTGGTATCTCTTTTCCCTTCTAGTTATCGGTTTACTTTAAAAGGCATGATTATTTCAATAAACACGCAAAAGCGTGTAGCTAATTATGTACCTACTTAAAAAGTAGAAATTACAATTTAAAAAAAAACTATTAATAAATAAAAAAATAGAAATTGATAAAAAAATATTATTATGCAATTAGTTCCGAATCTTTTCAATAAGTAACTGATAAGTGTTTCACTTCCAAAGGCTAATGGCTAATGGTATCATAGTAATTTCTATATAACATAAGTGCAGCGGTTCTAGTTTGGTCTAGAGTTCAATTGACCTAAAGTTAATGCAAAATGAAGGAGACACTTTTAATAATTGTAGCATTTTATTTGGTCCAGTTTGCATCAGCAGCAAGAATACATTTCGATAATAATTCTTGCAAGACTTATTTGGATTACTTTACGCGTTCTGTTAATAAAAATTGCTATCATAACGATTTCCTCTATCTGCAAACGGTAAGTAGGCATGAATTACATTTATTATATCAAAATCAAATACTTACTATTAAATATTTTCTGGCAGTTCATAAAACAACATAGTAAGTATATTGAGTTAGGTTTCAACGTCGAAAGAATATCGTGCTTTATGATATGCAGATTGAGGTGAAGTCGAGATTTTCGGAAAAAAGATTTCAGTTTAGCACACTCTCGATCATGAATAAAATAATATGTTATAATTGCAAATGTGAAAGTTTTAAAACTATGAGTACACAACGAAGCAATGATAATGCCTTACCAAAATTTCAAGCAAATTAGAATTATATAAAGCAATCATATTCATGTCACTATTACGAATTAAAAAGTATATAAAAACACTTTTGAAATGGCCAAATCTGCATGCGTTTAACATCTAATTGGAAACAAATATGCTTTCATGAGATAAGCAAAAGAGTTGTTTTAAGAACGTCGAATAATTCTTACTTTTGTAGGTAATGATTTGAGATGCAAAAATAACTTTTTTGCAGCGTTTATAATTACTGTATTTCGAGCGTCAGTTTGAAAAAAAAATAGGTATTTAATTTGTAGTTATTAGTTAACAAGTATCATTAATAATTTTAATTCTATTGAAGGCTATGTAGGTATTAGTTGTACTAAAATAGCTCGACTGATCCATTCAAGACCCAAAGGATGAAAAAACGTCAAAAGAAGATGGTAGCTTCAAGAATCTTATGAGTAAGTTTATGGAGAAGATGAAGAAACTAATACTAGAAATTAGACAATTGGAAAACGACTTCAAACAAACACCAACACCGAGAAACCGAGTAAAATGTTACCGGTGCCAAAAGCTTGGATACATGCAATGGGATTGTAGGCTAAGGATGTCCTCTCCATCAAGGGATCGTTCCCAAAGCTTTTGGAGATCCAGAGACGCCAGTCCTAAACATCGACCTGGAAACCTGCATGAGAAAAACACTAGTCCAGCTTTGAGAAGAACGGGCCTGATCGTTGATGACAAGTGGACTACGAAACAAATGAGAGAAGATCAGGAAGCAGGACATCGGGCAGATTCTCCATCTTAAGGAAAATGATGAATGTAGGCCAGAATGGAGGGAAGTGTCGCACAAGAGCTTGATTTACAAGGCGTTGTGCTCCCAGTGAAACTCTCTGGCCGTAGAAAATGGTTTTCTTAAAAGAGTTTGGGAAAGTGCCGATAGGAAATCCACTAAGAGCCAACTGGTTATCCCAAAAGACTGAGTGGAAGATGTATTAATAGAAATACATGACGGAACTTCAGGGGCACATTTTGGAGTTAACAAGACTCTGGACAAAATTCGGGAACATTTTTACCGGGTTCACTATCATGAAGACGTTAAAAACTGGTGCCGAAAATGTGACATCTGTGCTACCAGTAAAGGCCCTGAACTAAGATCTCGGGGGCACATGAAACAGTACAACGTCGGTTTCCCATTTGAAAGAATAGCGATAGATGTTGCTGGACCGTTCCCTGAGTCAGAGCGTGGTAACAAGTACATCTTGGTCATCATGGATTACTTCAGTAAATGATCAGAAGTTTTCGCTTTTCCCAATCAAGAAGCTATCACTGTTGCCCAGGTGCTTATGGACGAAGTTTTTAGTCGTCATGGTGTGCCACTAGAGCTACATTCAGACCAGGGACGAAACTTCGAATCTGCCATCTTTAAGAAAATGTGTGAGATCATGGGCATTCGTAAGACAAGGACAACACCTTTACATCCACAGTCTGATGGCATGGTGGAACGATTCAATAAGACCATAGAGGAACACCTGACAAAAGTGGTCGCAAGGAACCAGCGAGATTGGGACAAGCATTTGCCTCTATTTTTAATGGCTTACAGGGCAGCTGTTCACGAGTCAACAGGTGGAAGTCCAGCCAGAATCGTTTTTGGAAGAGAACTCAGGTTACCTTGCAATCTGATGTTTGGGATAGGTACCTGAAGAAGAACGAAAAGAAATCCGAGATTACGCCGATGGAGTAAGGGCACGACTTCTGGGTATCCATGATTTTGCTCGGAAGCATATTCACCTGGCCAGTGACCGAATGAAGACTAGATACGACTTGAAAGCGAATTCAGCCGGATTTCAAGAAGGCGATTTGGTGTAGCTGTATAATCCAGCAAGAAAGAAAGTTGTATCGCCAAAATTGTCTTCAGCATGGGAAGGACCCTACAGAATAATCAAGAGGATCAATGATTTGGTTTATCGCGTCCAGCGTAACACGAGGAGTGAGATGAAAGTTGTACATCTAGACAGATTAATGGAATATCATGGGCGTGAAGTTGATCGGGACCATCAGAAGATTAGTTATCGCGTGTATTCTAGATTGTTCATGAATAGATTTAGGGATATATAAAAAGGCCGGCATTGGTTTGTAAGCTTAAGTTTGACTGTGATACGAGTTAAATAGTGATTATTGTTGCGAGTTGTGAAAAGTTTAGTTGTTGAGTTAGTAATTAGTGTCAAAGTGTATAGTTACGTGGAATAAATTATTGCTGTGTTAATAACGAACCCAAGATTTCTGTCACGATACCCAAAGCCGTGACAGTATTGGCATACCGCTCCAATTCTTGGTCATCATTGGGTGTTTTAACTGCAGCCTCTCGTAGAGCCCTTTCCAGACCTTGCATGTACTGTGCAATATTGGTTTTTCTTGGGTCACGATAAGGTCTTGTGGTTTTAGGCGAACAGTTTAATGTGAAAGTTATCCATCATTGATCCGACATAGAATCTTGATCAGATACGCGCCAATTATGGATTGAATTTGATATTAATACTGAGCATAGTGTTATATCTATTACAGTTTGACTACGAGAGTTTAAAAAAGTTGATATTGTGCCGTTATCACATATGAACAAATCTTCACCTTTATAAAGTCATACAGAGACTTACCTCTTGGATTTATATCCTGACTTCCTCAGTTGATGTGGTGCGAGTTAGAGTCATTCCCAACCACCAGCTCCAGATCGTGGGTCTGGCAGTGCCTGACTAGCTCTTCAAGATCCCTGTTAGGTGGTAACGTCTCAACATCTGTGGGGAGATATACTGAAGCCAGGACGATGGCAGTAAGGCCTGATATAGCTGTGTCAGTGCGTGGGCTGTGTATGACCTGGAATAATAGATGGCCGTGTTAGGTTGGTTGTTGCTGGGGTTGCTGAAAGCTCGATCAGTTAGTGTGCCTATACCTATGATTTCACTTTGTCTTATCCAAGGCACTTGGACAAGTGCTATTGTGTCCTGCGCCATATCCAGGTGGCGGTATAAGGTTGCCAAAGCCGCTCTAGTGTGGTGCAGGTTGAACTGAGAAAATGTACCTTATTAGCTGCTTCCTCAAGCTCGATGCTGGTGGATGAGTGGCGGTTGACTTTTATACCTTCTTCTCTAGAAGAGGGGAGATATTCGTGATGGTATCATTACTGGAGGTGGATGCTGTCAACGATGTCTCGAGGAGAGTATCCAAGAGGATCTCGGTTGCATTCATGGCCTCCGTGCCGCTAGCACTCTCAGAGAAGATGACGCAGTCCTGTTTGCGTCGCCCGACAGCAGCTTCACTTTTGTCGGTAGCCCTGCTCCGAGGGTCCGCGCCACCCGACCGGGTGCCTGCACCCACAGATGGCTCCTCCTCCTCCTTACTACCTTCTGCTTTAATTTTTATGGTCAGCGAGGTGCACCCGTAGCTATGACCTTTGTTTTAGGGTCTTCACATCCTCTTCCCCAACACCAAATACCAGTAGGTAGATTCTATAATTTTCGCCGAAATTACTTTAGAAAGCAATAGCGAAACCAAACAAAACGAAAGCGATTACAAAAACTATTCTAGAAGCAGTTCGTAAGGAATGCTTCTTGAAACTGGGTGTCGCCCGGTTCCCACAGTTCGCATAGTATCAGCCAAGAAAAAACCAAACCGCGTCACACTCCATCTTATGCAACTTATTCAGATCTAGAAATACTGTCCCTACACAAGATGGTCTTAGCTATGTCAGAGAAACACTACCAAATATTTGAAGCAGCCTCTGAATCCCTATGTCTCTATTTTGTTAGTTGTCACATAACTACGGCTTTTTGTCAGTGCTGATTGGAAAGCGATTCCCGAAATGCGTAAATTGCATCTACTCTTGGGTAGAAAATAAATGTCGCATATATGCCTTAGTATAGTATAGTAATAATAAAATTATAGGTTCCAATTTGGAATTTTATTTTCAAATTGTTCTTTGTTCCAATATTTTTCAGCCACAAATTTTGGATAAACGTAAAATTCCTTATGAAAATCACACAGTTATCACAGAAGATGGATATATTTTGACTGTGTTCCGAATATTGAAAGAAAATCCAAAAGATGTGATTGTCATGCTTCATCCAATTGTACAAGATAGTACATCATGGTTTCTAGGGGACAATGGATCATACGGTAAAATATTATAGAATTTGTATTTTCTATGCTTTTTTTTGGGTTTCCAGATTAGGGATTTTGGCCACCGTGTCTATCTTTCATGCTTTCTTAATTTTTCATGATTCATATACGTAGCTTTGAAAAGAACGATGCTTGTCTTTTTATGCTAACGTAGCCTTTCTAATTTAGTTGACAGGTTTCTTGAAGCTGGATATGAACTGTGGCTGCTAAATTTCAGAGGTACAACCTATTCTGATAAACATATTGCAAATCTACCTCCAGCTCAATATTGGGATTTCAGGTAGGTAAAAGTTAACAACTTTGAAATCAAAGTCTAATAATACATATTTTCAGTTTTCACGAGATCGGTCTCTACGACTTTTCAGCTGTATTTCGTTATATCAACAACATCACTAACACGAAGCTGATAGCATTTAGTTTTTCTCTTGGTTCTTCAGCTAGTTCAGTATATGCCAGTGAAAAGCCTGAAGAAGCAAAACAGTTGATAAAGCTGTTTATTGCTATGGCTGTTCCAGATTTTTTACGAGATTCGAAGACTCTGCTTAGAGTTTTGATTCCTTTTGTACCCCTTTTAAAGGTAAAAAAATTAGCTTAAGCTATTCCAAAATTTTATTCGCCATTTTATTTTTTTAAGGCAATTACTAGAATATTGGGAATTTATGCATTTTTTGACAATTTCCGATTGATTACATATCTGCTCACAAATATCGTTCTGCTTTTCAACCTCGAATCGCTGGTAGCCTTGACAGCTGTACCCTTTGTTGGAGGAAGCTTTTTTTCTATAAATCCGGTAGGTACCTATCTATTAATTTCGACTTTTTTATGAAATTTGAAAACCATCACTTGTTTCATTTTAGAGACTCATACCAATAGGTACTTCAACTACTCCAGAAGCGACAAGTGTGAAGACACTGGAACATTATGTACAGCTTTTTGATAATAAATTCTTACAATTTGATTATGGAAGAAAGAAAAATCTTGCGGTGTATGGTACAGAAGAGCCACCTAAATATCGAATAGAAAATATTAACGTACCATTTCATATTATTTTGGGTGAATCTGATATCTTGGCTAACAAAAAGGTATGTATGTACAATGTGACGAATAATCGCATTATGTAATTCCCCTTGTGTTGACAATGATAAACGATCAGTGATGGTCAGTGATCTCATTTTTCGAACACTTTTATCAAAATGGTTATTCTCTTTTCCTTTATTTCGAGGAACTCAAGTTTTAAAACTGCCAAGAATTCGGAGTTTTATCGCTTACCAAATGATGTTGAAAAATATTAGATTGTTGGCATCGCTTCGCGCATGCCAAAATATATCGTCAAAGTTTTTCGGCAATAGGGATGGTATTCTAAAGGTGGTAGGCATCGCAAAAGAGGCTCTAGAAGACCTATAAAGGCCACAGTTCGGGATAATGAAGAATATGCTTGACCTTGGAAATGGGCACATAACCTCAAGATCAAATACGCTTGCTTTAGCAGATATTGACTAGGAAGCCAGCCCCATATTTGAACAAGAATACATCGGAACTCGAGTTGCTGCAGCTACGTTACATTTTCTGTAGGAGGCTAGCATTAATGTTCTTCAACTTGTCTGGAAGATGATGATCAAAATAGTAGGTCTATAGATCAGCTCATTCGAAGCATGCCACGGGACATAATAGAATCTCCCCGAATTTCCCCCAACTAAAACATAATTTTCTGATTCCCAACACAAAACAAGACAAACAACCAACCGTTAACAACCATTAAATAGACATTGTTCGCATATACAAATGGGCATAACTGTGTGCCAAAATTATTTGGAACCCAATTTGGCTCTGAATATTTTTTTTTTTTTTAATTTGGCGGATTTTTGTGAAATTTTGTGTGAATATTAGGAGGGCCTTTCCATAATTGTAGAAACAATTCTACTCAAAATGTACAGTACAGGGTGAGCTAAGTCAGAAGCAGTACTTTTAATCATTGCCTTTGGAGCTCTGTTGCAAAATTAATTTTTTTACTCTAAAACTACATAGATTATTTGAAAATATTAAGAAAATATCGGAAAAGAGGCTATGAGAAAATTTTTCGAAAAACTTCAGGTTTTGTTTTTTTTTTTCCGAAAAGTTTGTTAAATAATATTACGATACACGGGTAAAAGGGTTTTATTAAATAACAAAACAGAGACACTCTTAACATCGAGTTTCCTATGAAACAAAGTCAATTGGACAATGGCGCCGAAGACTCCAAGCTGTTGTAGATAATCAGGGAGGTCATATACACAATAGGTTCTTGTGAAATTATTGAAAAATCTTATTTTTATTGTATTTTTGCCCTGTCAATTTGTTATTTAATAAAACCCTATTACGCGGTATGGTAATATTATTGAACAAAGTTCTCAAAAAAAGTACTTTGAATTTAACCGGATATTAACTTTAACCGGAATATTTGATTATGGATTAAATTCAAAGTTGCTGTCAAATGATAGCTTATAGAAATCTAAGATGAGAATGCAAGATCGTTTTTTTTCTAAAATTAACCATTTAGGTTTTATAGCCTGTCAAAGTTGCAAAAAGGTCAATTTTCAACTGTCAATATTTCAAAAACAGTTGAACTTAGGTATACGGTATATCACATTAAATCTGCTTAGAATTTCACGTAGAATCCAAATATGCAATTAAATACAGAGTATCTGATTTGAAATGAGCAGGTTGACGTCTACTTCCGGTGTAACCGGAAGTGCCACCATCTTGAAAACATTTTAGCCGGGTGGTCTCCATTGACATTAGTATACTATTAAATTTTCGAAAATTTTCTGCATACAGTTTCTCAGATCTATTTGGTTCCCGGTGGGACACCATCTACATATAGTATGTATAACCATCCAGAACTCAAATGCATATTGTCACAGCCGCCCGTTTTACAGGAGTGACATATTTGGTGGATGCTCTGTCGTCGAATGTCCCATGGTGTTGAATCTGCTTATTCAGCTTCCGAGTACTGTCTAGAAATAATTTGGCCTTTTTTCCGTTGCCATCTTGGCAAAAATAGATAACACACAAACCCAAATACTACTTGAGAGGCCAAAAAAGGCAGCAGCTATGACACCAGAAGAATCATTCAGACCCCCCCCCCATCTTAACCAAGTAGACCACTGCAAAGATCACCACCAAAGTCACCTATTATCAGTTTAATAGAAAATCAAGTAGATACTCAAGCAATCGACGAAGAAGACAATGTATTTGGTAACCCACCAGACCTACCCCGTCAAGAACCACCTAAATCCCACCAGATAGCAAAAGATAAAGAAAACGAATCGATTATAATGACCAATACCATATTAAAAGCCATGATAGCGACAGAAAAGGCGATAGTACCCCAGTTTATCAGCCATCAAACCTTCCACCCTTGTAAAACCAGCGCAACTGAGTTCCTGAGGGTCTACGAAAGGTCAGCAATAGCAAATGGATGGAATGACCAACTCAAAATTGCTTATTTTGAAACATTTTTGGACGGAGCAGCAAACCTGTGGTTCCAGGAGTATGACATCAACTACCAGAACAACAGCTGGGCCGATTTAAAGAAATAGCAAGCACCATAGACAAAACACCTGAGAAGAGCCCAAATTAAAATATACTCAAATAATCCCAAATTACGATCTACCCCATCACAAACTAAATGGTATGTCATTATTGTGGAAAAAGGAGACGTAATGGTCATGTTCAGAGGCCGACTACGAGCAGACCTTCCAAAAGCTTCAACACCGCCAGTAACTATCAAAAAGTGTAATAACTGCGGAAAGCGGGACATTTTGCACCGAATTGCAGAAGGCAAAGGTTAAGTGATGCCAATGGTGGCAACACTAACTCGAGAAACCAGATAAATAAACCTATGTGCCACAATTGTGGGAAAGCATGATGGCGACAAAAATGGCAATAGTACCCCAGTTTGTCAGCCATCAAACCTTCCACCCTTGTGAAACCAGCGCGATTGAGTTCCCGAGGACCTACGAGAGGTCAACAATAGCAAATGGATAGGATGACTAACTCAAAATCGCTTATTTTGAAACATTTTTGGATGGAGCCGCAAACCTGTGGTTCCAGGAGTATAAAATCAGCTACCAGAATAACAGCTGGACCGATTAAAAGGAATAGCAGGTAGCAGAGATGAAGCACCTAAGAAGAGCCCACATCAAAACACACTCAAAGAATCCCAAATTACGAGCTACTCGATCATAAACCAAATGGTATGTCATTATTGTGAAAAAAGGGGACACGTAATGGTCACGTGCAGAAGCCGAATACGAGCAGAGCTCCCAAAAGCTTCAACAGGGCCAGTAGCTATCAAAAAGTGTTATAACTGCGGAAAAACGGGACATTTCACAACTGTCTGCAGAAGCCAAAGGTTAGTTGGTGCAGGTGGTGGCAACACTAACTCCAGAAACCAGAGAAATCAACCTTTGTGCCACAATTGTGGGAAACCAGGACACTGTCGCAACTCGTGGAAATTAGACAAAACACCTAAACGAGATAGGATGGCGATATTCCTGCCATCCTAGCCCTAGGAAAAGATTTTAACCGCAATTTTCTATGCAGCACAATTGGCATAAATAACATACAATACCCAGCCATAGTCGACACTGGAGCAGAAAATAACGTTGTTCAATATGCAACTACTCACGGGACAGCTACATAAAAACGGAAACAGGGTTCTATTTACTGCATGAGGACACAGAATCCCTTAGGAGAAAACAGAGTACCTACCAATAGAAATACCACCATTATACCATCATAGACCTTGCACAAGAATTATTAATCCTGAAAGAAAAATACAAAATCCTGCTATGGTATACAAGTGAACAAAATGTTAACATGCCTGATCTCATCGCTATTTAAGAAGACAGAAGCAAGCGAAATCACATCCATGAAAAAGGCAATTTTGATGAATTTGTGAAAAACTACAAAAATAAATGCACAACTTCAGAAGTTTTTTGATAGAAGAATACGCGGAAATCAGAAACTTATCACATGATGAATTTTAGCTAAAGCCGGCGCCACACGATGTGTCGAATACCTTCCAAGCTTCCAACGCTGGACACATAGCGATTTGTGGCATCGTGTAGCCATGCGCTCATCGGACACATTTGCCGAATGCTGGAGTGCAAAACACTGTACCCAAAGTTGGATCCAATTTGGGACCATCGTGTGGCGCCGGCTTAAGAAGGAAGACTACATGAAATATAGACATATCCTCCCTACGAAAAATAAACAGGGAACCATTGAATATTTATCGGTAGTACAGGACAAGGGAACCACACCGATTTTCCTGTTGACGAGAGAGATATGTAAGAAGAAACCAACGCCAAGAAATATTTACAAATGTTTATTAGAATTGAAAAAAACGGCAGTACAAACTAATGGCAAAAAAATAATATTTCCTAGAAGAGATAAAGATAAAAAATGGTTCAGATTTAAGCAGATGCTGTATTTTATTTCCAAAGACACCAAAATCAAAATCCGTATATTTAGGGAACAACAAATAACAAAAAGTAAATCAGAACTAGCAGGAGGAATAACGGCATTACTACAAATATTTATAAAAGCAGAGGAACAAGGAATACAAAATAGGAGCACAGTACACAATAGAACTCCGGGTGAGGAGACAATGGTGGAACCGAAAATTATGGAGGATACGAGCAAAATGACAGAAAACATGGGCCATAGTTGGCATTGGATAGAAAGATTTATAGGTAATGAATATTTGAAAATGTTGCTCCAATTAGGTGATAATTCGACCTTTTTGTTTACCAGAGGACTCTCGTTTGTATAATATAGGTATGGCATTTGTCTTGAATTTTAGTTTGATATTCCATTCATCCATCGACATCTCATGCTCAGGTTCTTTTTCAGTCTAAGTATTAAACAGTGGAGAAAGACGAGGAGCTGGTGATCAGTGTGTCATCAGCAAACAAAGATAAGCTTGGCATATAAGATGATGTGCCTACATTAGAAAGAGTAGGTGATGAAAGGCAACCTTTTGGGATTTAGGCTACCATTTCTGCATCGCCTCTTCTTCTGTTTTCAAGAAAACTCGCAAAAACATTAGGTATTGATTTACCCGGAAAACTGGAATGTAACACTCACATCTAGGAAGGCACCATTTGCTTGGAAACGTCTATTGCATCGCTTTAGAATATCTGATATTTCTATTTAAAATGATGATACTTGATTCGGGCTTGGACATAAATTTGTTTGGCTGGTACTGCTTGTGGTCTGCTTTTCCTAATATGTGATTAATAATTTTTTTGTAACTATTTTTCGATTACTTGCTCCAAATTAGAAAGGGGTGAATTGGTTCGGTCCATATAATTTCGGGTCTGTAAGGTTCTCATTTAATTTTGTCCAAGCACGGTGCCTTACTTCTATTCACTGCTGTTGCTAGGTCCATGGGAATGTTTTGTTTTCGATTGGAGAGTCGCTGAAAATATCATGTATTAAGTAGACAGGTTTTTGTCTGAATAGATTATGGGGCTGTTGTAGAATTTATTTTTCTTTGTAGCTTTCAGTTTGGAGTCTTGTCCAGGATGACTCCCAAATACTTAGCTTCATTTGAGAATGGTACTAATTCTCCCCGAATAGTTAGGAGTACCAAGTTATCCATTTTTCTTCTCCTGGTGAAGGATACTATGACCATTTTGTGAGGATTGATTGTCTCTAGCACCAATCAAGCACGCAGTCTAGCACCTCTTGGAGTGCAGCTGAAAACCTCGTCTCAGAACTACCCTTGGCTATTATAACTAGATCGTCCGCATATGCTTGAACCTCGACCCCCCACACATCTGTATCAAGGCCAGGACGTTATCCACCAGGGCCCGTATTCTCGTCCGACACCGGGGAATAGCGTTCTCTCAAGAGAATGATTGCTCTGTCTTAGTTACCCATATTGTTATTTCCATAATACTGACAATGACAGAACAATCGTTCTCTTGAGAGAACGCTGCTCCCCGGTTACGAGAATACGGGCCCTGAAGTGAACATAGAAGCGAAGAGTGTACCCCTGCCTGTGGACAGCCTCTGGCGACCCTGAACCTGACCGTTTCCCCCTGTAGAGCAGCCGTTATTACTCTACCGTTCAGCATGGTCTAGCACCTTTTCTAAAGTTTTCAGGAGAAACGATGTCAGACTTATTGGTCTGAATGATTGAGGTGTGAGTTCTTTGCGCCCCGCTTTAGGGATATAGATCACCTTGGTAGCTGTCCAGCTTGGGGGTATATGGTTCCACACCAGACACCAGACTGGCTCTGAATAGTCTTATTAGAAATGGAAGCAGGATCCCAAGTCCGTTCTGAAGCAGAGCAGGGGAAATGCCGTCATATCCAGGCGATTTGAAAAAGTGGAATGATAGGACCACCCCCTTTATGGCCGCCACTGTAATTATTTTGTTGGCTGTCAACCAGTCTTCTCTTCCAGGTCGTTTAATCCAATCACTGGGTTGGGCATCCTGGACACAATTCATCAGCATGAGAAGTGGTTCTCTGCGAGAATCTCTAACGTTTCTTTTCTAGATTGTGTGTAGGATCCATCTGGGCATTTTATCAACCCTAACTCCTGCACTCGCTCTTTTGACAATTCGTTAGAGCAGCTCTATAGGTTTCCCAGTTACCTGTTGTATTAGCTCGGTTAAACAATTTCCGAACTTCTTTCCTCAATTTTTTTAGGCTATTGTTCTACCAGGGTAAGCTTCTGTTATCTTTTTTAACGCTTAATGGACAGTTTTCTTGAAAAGCTGATATGGTGGCATCGGTTATTCGGTCTGTCGCTAACTGATCACGATCTCTGATGGACAGAGTGAAGTTACGCAAGTTATTTCCAAGGGACGTTCTATATCCGTCCCAATCAGTATTCCTTGCGTTTCTGTACTCCACGGCCTGTCGTGGGACTGTGTTTATTTCAAATCGTATGTGCCTGTGGTCCGAGCATGATGGCTCAGATGACGCGCGCCAGTCGATTATTTTATTAGAAATAAAGTTTGAGCTAATTGTCAAGTCTAGTATCTCTTTCCTGTTTATAGTTACAAAGGTTGGCTCTGAGCCTAAATTGTTTATGGTAAGCCCTTCTCCTGATTAAAAGTTGAATAAGGACTCACCTCGGTTGTTGATATTGGTGCTTCCCCAAGCTGTATGATGGGCGTTGGCATCACCCTAGCATCAATTGAATGTTCCTCCTCTTGCAGTGGGCAATTAGTTCTGCCACAATTCTTGGAGGAGGAGCTTCTGCGTGTCTGTCTCCGGGAAAGTATGCTGAGCAGGCCATTAATTCCGTCCCGCTCTTCCCCGGGAGGATCACATGGATGGTGGTAGTATCCTCGTTGCAGAAGCTGAAAAGTACAAAGTAGTTAATGTTGTTTCTGGCAAGTATGCACTCTCAGTCTTATCCCGTGAGCATGTTCTATTACCTTGCCAGAAGTGTTGCCCAGTCCGGTTACTCAGACTGTGTTTGATGTCCAAGGTTCTTGAATGAGGGCTATTCTATCAGCTCCTTACTAAAGACCTTGATAAGAATGGACGTGGCCGCTCTTGAGTGCTGCAGGTTTGCCTGCAGTATTTTCATTGATGAGGCCATTTTACTATCCTGTCTATGGTTGGCCCTCGCCTAGAGGTCTCTCAAGGCCTTTAGGTCCCCTTCTTTTCCCCCTTACCGATACCCTTTTTCTGGTATCTACCCGGGATGGATTTATCCGTCCAGGGTCAGTAGGTGGTTTTTCACCGTCCGATGTTGGTTTTCCGGTAGAAGGCCCCGCCGCATCTAGTTTCTTGACAGGAGGATTGCTTACCCCTGCTTCTCCCCAGCATCCTCTTGAGAAGCCTTGGCCTTGAGACGAAACCTAACCTGGCCGAAGCCAAAGTAAGGCCTGAAGTCCATTGACCTCAACTCCTCTAGGGATCCGTCGTCGATGGCAAAGATCCATGTCTGACCCGGGCCCAAGCTTTCCCGATGTAGGGTTATCCACTCTCGGGTCTTCAGGCCATGGTTCATCTTCCTCAGCCTGAGTAGCATCTCCTCTGGCGCAAGGCGTTGACCGTCCTTGTCGTCGGGGAGGAAAGCCACACAGACGTGAGGTTTTGGCAGATCTGCGCTTTTAACGAAGCGTATTTCTGCCCTTTCCCATGGCTTGAGGTGCTTTGTTGCGCCTTCCAGCCAGACCAGACTGCTGTCGTCGGCACAGGTTATTTGCAACTATCCTGGGCGATGAGTGCAGCCCTGGAATCGCACCTGCGGACCGCCGTCTGGCATGTTCTGGACCGGCTCTAGGACGGCCTGTTGCAGGCTAGTCAGCTGTTCGCTGGTGTAGACTACGCTGGGGTAATCAGGGGGAATTAGTCCCCCCCTAGTAACTTCAGCGACAGCCTTGTAGCTTGGAGCATTAGCCCTGGCATGTTTACTTGCCTGGGGTGCTAGTGTGGGATCGTAGGCCCTTTCTTGCAGCTCCAGAGTTGGATTTATCCCCCTCTGGCTGCTAGATTTCAGTCGCCCGCTTTCCGATCACCTCTTTCAGGGCGGTTTTGTTCGACCCCCCTCTTGATAAGAGGACTCAGGTTCCTTCTCTGAGCCCTGATAGTCTTAGTCCATTTTATTTTTGTTTCGGTGCTTACTGCCTCTCGACTGTCTCGGTCATCAGACCGCAACAATTCCTGTTCCTGGTCCGATGTTGGAGGAATGGTTGAAGGTGTCTCGCCGGCCTCTGTTGCCAGAGTCGGAGTTTTTGTTTTGTTACTCATATTAAATCCCACGAATAGCAGGGGAAGTACAGGGTCCCCTACTACAGAGCGCTGCGTGAAGTGGTAAGGCTATTAGATATCCACTGACATGTGGGGATTTTATAGAGTGGGGGATCCTAACTAAGGGGGACACGGGGCCAATCCAAGATGGAAGCTATCGCGTCGAGGGATGGGTTGCATCTGGGCCCTAAACAACCAGCTGTCCAGAACGATGCCTCCAAGAAACCGGGCGACATCCTGGAGTGCATCAACAGTGGTGAGCTCCCCTAAGCCTCTCCATTACACCAAAATGGGGACACGCCGGGGGGGGGGGGGGGGGGATTTTATGGCTAATACCTACACCTATTTGACAAGGTGTTAGCGAAACCTATGCTATAAGGGCCGGAAATATTCAAATCAAAAGTGACTTCACCGGGCCAAAGCCAGTTACCCTCAGATATGATATCCAAATACTGCAGGTGGAATTTGTAACAGGTGACAGGGAATTGATTAATCACAAACTCAAGTCGGATCAAAGCAAACACAACTTGAGCAAAAATTTCCAATGGCGAGATGCACAACCAAGACCCTATTAGTTCTTTGCTTTTTTTTTCTGGATTCCTTTTTTTTGTTTCAAGTGGACTTTTTTAACTTTTAGAGAGCAAAATGTGGTTTTCCTAGCTTGTGGCTCGCCTTTAGATGATTTTGACCCGGCAGACTGTCTGTTTGTGAGGCTAACTTGCTCCGATGGTCTGGTTTGTAGGACGGTTCGACTCGAGTCTACATATTTATCTTCTTGACTTACGATTTTATATCCTTTTTTCTACCTATAGTTAAAATTACCTACTTAATTTAAATATCTTAGTACTAACATCAAGCTAGAAATAAAAATGACTCACAAAAATCTATTAAAGTAATGAAAACTCAGGTTTACCTAACAACAATTTTGCTAACGAATATGTACATCGCTCCGGACCTGAGAACCAAAATTCAAAAAACTATCCACTAGGTCAAATGTTCATTCCCACGAATGTCCATCCGTTCTTTTGTCTGATCAATTTTTTGTTAATTGATCATTTATTTTGATCGAAAATATACACTGTTTCTACGTGGTGCGTTTGTTTGTCACAGTATTATAAATATTTTAGTGTCACATATTATTTTTAATATTTTTCAGGGTATCCTATTGCTCTACAGTAAACTTCCAGACATCGCCAAAACCTACGGTTACTTTGAAGTTCCTGGATGTAGTCATGCAGATTTTTTGATTGGTAAAACACAACCTGCAATAGCTCAGAAGCACATCTTGGAACTACTTGAAAAATTTAACGCTTAGATATATTTGAATATCGTGCCAAAATTTAAGGCTATGTAATAAATCTTAATCGACAAACTTGAATGATTTATTTATATGCACCACAAGTTAAGATAAAAGTACCGCCCATAAGCTGTTTATATTGAAATATCCCGACAAAGACGTATAGTTTTACTTACTCACAATTTATAGGCAAATGCCGACACCCTGAAATAATGATTTCCGGACCGGGGAGCTGCTATACCACTGCCTGGATGGCGGATATACTTTTTCCCTAAATTTTCTGAAAATAAAAGATAGAACATCCACGGAAAACTAATGTCTTTATTTCAAACTTGTGAAGATTAATATAATTTACTTTGTTGTGTTTTAGATTTTTAAGGTTCTTGAGTTTAAGGGAAATATTCATATAGAACAAACGGCAACCCACCATGCGTTATTAATTTTCCGCATGATTGCGTAAACGCTCTATTAAAGTTATTACGACCAAATGTTGATCCACTAAATTTATTTTCACGTACGAGTGACCCTTTTAAAATGCCACGGTATGCCCTATAGGTAAATTTTGAAAAGGAGATTTATTAGTTGATTATTTTTCATTTTGTCGAAATGATAGATCAAAATGACAGCACCATTCAACAGATGGTATCGCCTATTGTGGCGGTTTCCTGTGATAATTAGTAGTCGACAGTTTTAACTATCCAATTTATTATTTTTTTGGGGAGTAAACTTGAATTCCTTGTAATAAATTATTAGTTTTTTTTTTAGTTTTTTCAAAATTTAAAACCTACTCATCATATTCTCGAAGCTCTTTTTATAATTATGTCACATTGAATGGATATAATTAGAGAATGGTAAGCTATCTCAAATTGAAAAAACACAAACGTTCCAGTTTTTCATAATTCTGTAGAATTTCCAATGAGTTTTCAGCCAAGGTAGAATGTTCACCACATTTCCTGATAAATGGTCAAACTTTTCATCCGATTTGCACTAATTTGTAATATTTCCTTTCTCTTAATCCCCTCGATCATACTTTCCAATATCATGCTCAGCTGTCCAGGTCAAATCAAACACTCTCTTCATGCTGGTTTTATCTTTGGTGAGCGGTTTTTCTTTTTAGAATATATAGTCACACTTTATCGTGTTTATGAAATCCTGTCAAACTGGCATTAACTGGCTACCTGCATATTTTGTCTGACATACTCGAAGATGATAAGCTTCTTATTCTCCAGTACCTGACTACCATGATATTCTCAGTGTTTGGTGACAACCCCACGTTTCTGGACAGCCAGAGGTTTATTCCAAACGTATTGATTATACTACATACCTACCCATACCTTAAACAGTAAAGGCTGTAGGTATGGGCTTGAATATAATCAAAGAATATGCAGCTCCCTTCATTTATTTCTATATCCAAATTTAAATTTTCTGATGGACACAGAAGAAGTTGTTATGCAGCTTTCCTGATCTGCCTTCACTTTGAACTTGCTTTTGTGATTTCTCCAACTAACTTGCGATTTGTTTTTTTGGTTGTTCCATTTCTATTAATTGAGTCGCATGACCCGTTCTAACTTGGTCCTATTTTGGTCACTCCTGTTGAAGAACATTCTACATCTTTATGTAAGTCTCAAGACCAGTACATAATTTATTTTTATATTTTAAAAAGGTGTATGACAGAGTGTCAATTAATTAATAACTTTTTTATTAGTGTGTCAAATATTATTCGTATTTTCCCTCTAATTTGAATCATGGTTTCTCAAACCTTAACAACTTTCACCAGTGATAATATGCTATTATCACAGGTGGAAGTGATCAACAGATTCCACAATTTTGAAAAGTTCTTCCTAGTGACACAATGATTTCGTTTGTTTTTTGGGAGTAAATGCCTACTTGATCACCAGTTTTTCTCCAGCCTATAATCGTGAGAATCACATTTTTCGGATTCCGTTGTTGCTTGCGATATTCGCTAGCTTTTTCTACAAATGTTCTATAGTAATTACGTCCACGTGAACTAATTTCGTGCTTTCTTGGCAACTTTTTTTTACTGTATGGATTCTTTCCGAGCATATTACATATCTAAGAAATTCAACACTCTTGAAATAAAATAAGAACATTTCTGACTCTACTAAAACTAACTCCGTTTGATCGTTGGAAGATGCTGGTCGAACCTTTTTAACATAACCATGACCAACGCTCAGGATAATTTAAGCAATTTTTTCACGGCAAGTATCGTAACACAAATCCTTTAGAAGTTATATTTGATTTCTAGCTGCGCGTTTTTCTCATAAAATATCAGTTGTGTTTGGTCTAATGCTTTATTTCAGAAAGCTGAGTTTATTCAGTTAATTGATTTTCTTCTAACTCGGGATGAGAATCAGAAGTTTTCGTGGCAAATTTAGGGCTTCCAGAAATTTCCCGACTGCGGATGTTCGGTGCATCACAGTCAAGGAAACTATCCGCTTTTGAAAATTGTGCTACGAAAAATAAATACAAAGTCTTAAGGCATCGATATCAAATCTAATTTAAATATTTATCTGAACCTACATGGCATAACTAATGATAATAGGCAGAACTGTCACAAGGAAGTAAACACGTGGTGAACCCCATGTTGATTAATTTTCACACGGCAGCAGTGACGATAAGTGAGGCTTAAATGAGCTTCTAAAGGGGAGGCTTTTAAAAAATGAGCATTTTAATCATTTAACAGATGTTTTTGGAAACTAGGCACGTTTGAGCGTCCTCCCCGATGTTTATTTAGTCTGTCGTTCTTGTCACAAAAATAATATTTTATTTTGCTTTCAGGTTTGGTTTGTTTTATCAGAAAATATATTTGATGTTTATCTTATTCTAGAAACTCATAGTAAGATGGCAAATTTAATAAAGCAAAAAAGACTTGTGCGTAAACTCTTAAACCTATTTGCATGATAATAATACAACTGCCACTTTTTAAATAGTCTTACTTAATTTCTGATAATGGCAACATTCATATGCATCCATAGAAAACAGAAGGATCGATAAATTAAATCTGTAGGTAGGTACCTAATTCTCCAAAATTTGAGAGATAAAATTTTATTATTAGAGATGCTTGAACATTATTTGAATTCAGGGATGGAAAATTTTCCAGAAATTAAGTTTTATTTGAAGAATTTAAATGGACTTTTTTCAATTTGTTCCTTTGCTCTTTGCAGCTCTTAACTATATCAAGTTTAATTTGTCCAAATTTGAATATTCTTATCAATCAACAGCGTGAAGTGAGTGAAAAATGATACTCGGTTATCTGAGGAGGTAATCTCACAAAAAGATACGTCTATGACCGAAGCTGGCTTATGACAGATCTCCTCTTTTCCCAATCCTAATTCTACGTCCCTCTAAAATGTTCCTAATACCTACCCAATTATATCTGGACTGAAAATCCTTGAATAAATATCGGCAACATTGAAGAATGACTATCAAGGATAGTTGGGAATTTTGAACAAATGTTTATTATATTCACAAGCAATATCTTTGGTTCTCAAATGGATAGTCGATAGGTTTTATCTCAGGTTTTATACATCAATTCACATCTTTGGGCTTTTAGCAGAAAGTCTAGACATTATAATAAAATAAAATTTATTTGGAGCCGAACTATTATATAGAATTGGGATTAAAGAGTCATATAGGTTACCTGAATTACATGTCTTCTAAAGTATAATATGTAAATCCAATCAATTTCATGTTACATCCTGTAATCAGGTATAGGAAAAACACTACAATATCAAGAGGGAGCTTTAGACAATGTCCTTCTCATGAGTCCAAACAGGGACGAAATGCGTAGAGGATTGGCTAGGGAAAGCTACATCCACAGAACGATAGCTCAAACCACTCGGTGTACTTCAATGACGGTAGGAGTATTTTCCTTCGGGGAGTTGTTTATGGTTGATCAACAAAATTCAATAGGTCTTAAACATGGAACTTGAGCCTATGTTCTTCTGATGAGTCCAAATAAAAACGAAACGCAAAAAGGACTGATTAGGTTAAGGGGTGTAGTATCTACAGAATGATGCATCGATTCCCGAACAGGGAGTGCTGTATCCATTATTTTGAGTTGGTTGAAACCTGAAATAAGATTTGTTGCAAAAACTTGTCACATCTGTTCCAAATTAAGAATTATCATTACCCAAAAATTCGTAAAAAATCAGAGCCGACACTTTGCGCAAGTGTTAGGAACAATCCTTTTTCTACGAGCTGTACCTAATCTTTCTAAATGTTTCCAGATGCTCAAATTTGGTAATTTTCTCCCCGTGTTCAATTTGAACAAGCCGTTAAGTTTGTTTTTCCTGCCAAATTTTGGTATGGAGAAGTATAACTTAAGTCCAACTTCTATGATCTGATACTCCAAAGGAATGTGAGTTGGTGGCTCTGCATGCCAATGGTCACCTGATCTCACATCTGTTTTTGCTGGATTTTTCCTTCCCTCGCTCCTCATACGGAAAGTGTCAAATTAAAAAAGCTGAACATTACCTGAATTCCTTTCTTGGAACAAAAATAAGATTAGGCCCTTATTTCTGAATATAAGTTTACCCGGGAATCCACAAAACATTGAAAAATCGAGTATAAATGCGGTAACTATGCGTAACAAAAATGAGTGCGCAAAAAGCTTCCGTGCGCAAAGTTCAACTTTGCGTGAGCAAATGAGTGTGCGAAGTAATCACTTTGCGCACGCGAGTAGAAAATAGTTATTTTCCTAACAAGTGCGCAAAGTGGTACTTTTGCGCACGCAAACACAGTTAAGTATACATACATACATATATACATAAGTATAAGTGTAGTAAACTAATAATAATCGGATAAGTGTAGTAAACTACGAGAGAAATTTGTTTAATGTAAGAATCTGGAAGTGTGTATGTGCGCACACCCGTAGCGCATTTCGCATGGTGTGGCAGATTATTAAACTAATTACTTCGATCGTTTCTTACTTCGGTTTAATTTGTCTTTGTCAACAAATTGCCCGAAAATTTTCTATCTTTTTCTAACGCGTACAAAATACAAAATTTGACGAAATATAGGATTCAAATGATTGAATCTAAAGACCATCAATCAAAAACTGAATGCTTATAATAATATCATAACCTAAAATTCTTCTATTAAACT